CACACACACACAAAATCAGGACATCAAAGTAAAAATGACATACAAGTGAAGGAAGGAACAAACAAAACATTTTTATTATAAATGGAAAAAGTCCCGTGTGGCACAGAATATAATTTCAAGTGTGTGTCTTTGTACAGTATCGCTCCCATTCTCTGCGACTCCGCTCCTAATGCGACCCAGACTCTCGTCTAGCTCTGTCCATTTGCTTAACCGAGCTCCGTCTCATTTTCTCTATGGTCTACAATAGAAAGCACATGCATCCTCAGAGACAGGCAGAAGGAATTTGTGGTACCATCTAAAACTCTCCCATCTGGCACGCAGCACTTTAGTTAGGTGCAGCTTTCTGTGGCACGGTGGCTCCAGTAGTTTAAAAGGTTTATTTATTTATTTATTTCCGGAGAGCCGAGTGTTCTCGTTCATCAAACTGGTCCCTGTCAAGAAAAGGCCTCGTGATGACAGAGCTTATTGACCTACGATGGCTGAAAATAAGAACCGATGATAGGAGCTCCTCCTCAGACAGCAGTGCAGACTAACCAAATGCATAAAGTATGGCTGACATCAGAGTTTTATGGGGTGGCTCCATTTGCAGGATGGGAAAAAAAGCCTGGCTTGTATGCACACGAGAATTAAGTATTTAGAACAAATTATTTAGACAAATTCAAAGTGGAACACTCCAGTAAGTTACCTGCCTGAAACGCTGATGCACTGCTCACACACCACCAAAGGTTAATAACATATGTAATTGAAACAGGAATGTGCATGTATGATGTATATGATGATTGAGTAATACTAGTGGAAACTGACTGTATCGGCCCGTGGCTCTGGCTGTCGCTGCTCTGCTTCAAATCAGACCAAATTTAATGATGCCGGGAGAACAAATAGTAACAAAAGTGGCTACTTTTAAAATTGTTACTGTAAACAATGTTACTGTAAACAATTCTAAACGTCAGGGCCAATAGCATCAGCAATGCTTAAAATGATCATCAATAAACATATTTTGTTTCCTTATTTTCTGTTTGTAAACATTTACTCAAACGTTTTCTGTTCACACAGTTACACCTAGCTTAAGGCTGCGCTCTTTATTTAGTAACAAGCTGCAGTTTTAAGGTCGTTCCCGTCTTCATCACATTTCATCTGAAACATTTAGCAAACATAAAGTGGAAATCATGCTACATCTAAAAATAGGCCCCCGACACTGTGACAGCAATGTTGTTTGTCGATATGTTAAAATCAGTCAACATGAACAATTTCAGCGAGCCAAACGTCTGATGTTTGATATCGCTGCATTATGCAACCTGTGCATCCCAACCGTTTCTGCGTTTTTGCCACACAGAAGAATGTGATCATCAGCGAAGAAGAAGCAAGTCACAGGATCGGGCTGTTAATTATTGCAGAATATAAAAAGAGATTTTAAAAAAGAGGAAATGAAAGATGTGAGAGTGTAAACAGTCTAACGATGGGAGCCAGTAAAGGAAACGATGCAGGTGAGGGTGAGAGATGCAGAAAATTAAGGTTAGGAAGAAAGGAAGGATAGAGATGGATGGAAGGAGAGAGGGAGGGATAGACCTTGGCCTACATCCAAACAAAGCCTCAGTGAGGAGCCATTCTTCCTTTGCCCTCCCATTTCCATA